TGCTGTGGTTGTCCCACCTGATGACGGACGCTTGTGTTGCGCCCGAAACGTCGTTATTATATTTATTTTATTATTTATACCTACGTAACTTTACCGAAAGAACCAAGGAGTATGGATCCCTGCAGTCACGAAAACTTCAAATCTAGAATAAACCATGTTGCCTTTACGACAACGTCTCCATAAGAACTCACTACAGCTGCACAGGGCGGATGCCGAGACAGCCGAAAGTGGAACAAAACCTCGCTTCCTGAGTAGGGGGGTCACGACGCCACGGAACTCCCCATCACCACCACCACCACCACCCACAACGCCACCACCACCCACAACGCCACCACCATCATCATCACCACCATCATCATCATCACCACCACCACCATCATCATCATCACCACCACCATCATCATCACCACCATCACCACCATCATCACCACCACCATCATCATCCATCATCACCACCACCATCATCCATCATCACCACCACCATCATCACCACCACCATCATCACCACAATCATCATCACCACCACCATCATCATCACCACCACAACCACCACCATCATCATCACCAATATCATCATCCATCATCACCACCACCATCATCCATCATCACCACCACCATCATCACCACAATCATCATCATCACCACCACCATCATCATCATCACCACCACAACCACCACCACCATCATCATCACCACCATCATCATCCATCACCACCATCATCATCCATCACCACCACCATCATCCATCATCACCACCACCATCATCATCCATCATCACCACCACCATCATCACCACAATCATCCATTATCACCACCACCATCATCCATCATCACCACCACAATCATCACCACCATCACCACCACCATCATCATCCATCACCACCACCATCATCATCCATCACCACCACCATCATCATCACCACCCCAATCACCACCATCATCACCACCACCATCATCACCACCACCCACAACGCCACCACCACCACCCCCATCATCATCACGTTGGCCAGGAGATGTTAACTACCTCGCCTGGTCTACAGGAGGTCGGGGGTTCGATCCTGACCCTGACGACGCCTGCTGCTGCTGTAAATTTGGAGTCTGCATCTATCTCTCTCATCATCACGGTGGCGAGGAGATGTTAACTCCCTCGCCTGGTATACAGGAGGTCGTGGGTTCGATCCCGGACCCTGGCGATGCCTGCTGCTGCTATATTTGGAGTCTTCGTCTCTCTCATCATCATCATCACGGTGGCTAGGAGATGTTAACTACCTCGCCTGGTCTACAGGAGTTCGTGGGTTCGATCTCGGACCCTGACGATCTCTCTCTCTCACCGTGGTGGTCACTGCGTGGATTTTGTCTCCGGTCCTCTGGGTTTTCCCCGCCACATTTCAAAACGAACATCACCACTGCCGCCACGTGTTTTAGATTCCTTTGTCCGCTGCTATGAATGCGCTAGGGGTCGGCACGGTTTGAACCGACTCAAACTGGTTTCAAATTGAGCAAACCAAACCAAACTAGCGACGACTGAACCAAACCAAACCAAAACCAAACCAAACTAAGCTAAACCAAACCTCTTGAGTTGGCTTGAACCGAAAAGATGCGCGGCAAACAATATTCGCATTCAATACAAATATCAAGTGCATTAATCGCTAATTTCTACGCAGGCTTTCTTCATATTGAGATTCACTAGCAAGTACTGGACGACGATGTCGTCCACAGCCATCTCCTCAAGCTTGGCACGCCCAATGTCCTTGAACGCAGTGTGGTAGTTCAATGGCAGTGAAACCCCAACACTAGGCAACATCCGCGCCCACGAGCGCACACACATCTCGGCCTTGAACGTGCACTTGTGCAGGTTTGGTCGGTCGAGAAAGGAGCGCTTGGCGGCCGAGTTTGCTCTCTCGGAGGGCACGGACGACGCCGGGATAGGCAAATAGTCGAGGGCCACGCGTCGTAGGCGCGGGTACTTGCCGCCGTACAGCTTCCACCACTCGACGACGTCCATGCTCAGGTCCTGAGTCGGCTCAAGCAGGAAGCAGTCGACCTCGGAGGCGGCGCCGTCGTGAGCGTTGGGCGCGTAGACCATGTCAAAGAGGATGTTAATGCCACCACGCGGCGCCGCCTTCGGCGCCGCGTCCGTCGTCAACGCTGGGTAGCGCTGGTTGAGAATGTCCATCATCATGTCCTTGATATTGCTGTACTCGGCCTTTACAACCAACCAAACTAGTTTGAGCCGGTTCCACCCTGTCCGAGCCAACCCGAGTTGGTTTTCGTAGCCCCAAACCAAACCGAACCAGTTCAAACAGAGCCAAACCAAACCGATTTGGTTCGGTTCAAACCGCGGTTTGGTGGTTTGAGCCAAACCGTGCCGACCCCTAGAATGCGCTGAGGGGATCAGCCCACTTTTGTGATAGCCAGGGGGCCGTGTGGGGGCCGACGTCCACCCCCCTCCTCCTCATTGGCCGCCTCTCGCCGGCTTCCCCGCCAATCGAGTGATCGGCCCCACCCCATCCCACGCGCCAGCGCCCTCTCTGAGAGACATCGCTAAATCGGGCTGGCTCACCACCGCCCGGGGTTACCCCCGCGCACGCCCGCATACATCGCCACCAATGTGGGGGCGGCTGCGTGCACGCGCGCGCCCCTGCAAGGCGCTTGTTTCGCACAAAGGCCGGGCGCTTGAAAACGGCGGCGTGAATATGCGCGCGCGCCTCTGGGTGATTAAACTCTAATCTGCTCACACACAATGCTATTGTCGTTTGCTCGAACATGCGCGACTCACCCATGCACACTCAAATTACCAACACCGCATCGACGCCGCAGCCCCGCACTCACTCTCGCGCACACACCGTCCCCCCTAACCCCCCGCGCGCAGTCGCACCGCACGCAAATTGCAGATGCCATGCCGACGTTCTACCCACGTAACACAGGAATCACACTGCACCGATAACTCTGTATTCTTTGGGTCTTTCAGTAAAGTCACGTAGGTAGACAAAATAATAGATCACGACATTTTGATCACAATACAAGCAATCGTCATCAGGTGAGACAAATACAGCAGGAGTTCTTCTGTTGTATTTGTCTCGCCTGATGAATATGGATTCCTGTAGCCACAAAAGCTTAAAATCAAGATTGATGACGCTGTGGGCTCGCATGATATTGTTTTTCCGAGACCAAGGTACTCTGCAAACCTTCGGGCTAGGCTACTATCAATGGTCTGTTCATGAAGCCATCCAGATATACTGTATAAACATAGATATGACTTCAACCGAGAAGATGGATTCAAATTGAGCAATCATTGGAAGGACGTTATTAACCAGGTAAAGTCTTAGCTGACTGTGATGTTTCCATCATACCTGCCTATGTCAGCTGTTATTTCCGACTATCTGTGTCTCTCTCTTTGGATTGCACTCTCATGTTCACATCCTTGGATTGCACTCTCATGGTGCTAATCTCTCATTAACACTGCTGTTGTGCGCATATGCGGGTATGATACTCTTATACGGCGACGGCGACGGAAGCTCATTAATGGTAATCTCCCTCCCTAATCCCTCTCTCCCTAATCCCTCTCTCCCTAATCCCCCATTAACACAACTGAGGTGCTTGCTTCCGGGGGTGGACTTCCTTTATAGCTCAGACCCCGCTTGCTTGCCCATTGCCACATATATAGCCTTGTTGTAGCTGCTCTCTCGTTAGTTCAGCAGTTCCAATGCTGGATTATTTATCTTTTTTTCGCCTGAGGACGACCGCTTATGTTGCTATCGAAATGTCGTGATTTATTTTATTTTATACCTACGTGATTTTTCCGAAAGAACCAAAGAATATAAATACGTCGTTAAACCCGCCACCACTCAACACAACCAGCTTCATCGCCTGACGAGGCTGGTTGTAATTACCTGTGAAACATCACCGTACTCGAATGGTAAAGGTTATGGGTTTACGCTCCAACATACAACCGGTTAGTGCTGAACCAGTAACGAATTGGCACCACGTTTTGCTTACGTGACACAAACCCTTACTTATTGGCTAGTTTAACGACGTATTTATACTTACGCGATCTAACCCAAAACATGTCTTATGGATAATATTGGTCGCGAAATCCCAACTAGCACTACTACTGCGTGTTTCATCGAATAACAATTAAACTATTCAACGTTCCGTTTCTCGGTATGTTGTATTCATTTTCGGACACACCCAGTACATTGCAGTCAATTTAGAGCACCTTCTATGAAGCGTGCCGAGCATGGGGGTCAATGCATGTGAGATCATATTTATGTGCTGAGTTCAGACGTCCGTGGATTTTACATTCCCGAACTGGTCCGACGAGGTTCGTAAGGTAAATATTTCACAGTTGCCTGGGTTAGAATGAGTTAGGTTTTTTTACAATCCTGCCCAGTTGGCTCAACAGATCTAATAAATGAAGTCACATAGAGATACTCATCGAGACACTGAGATATGCATAGAGGATGTGTGAAAAGTGGGCTAGTATTTTCCCGATCCTGGCCCAGTTGGATAAAACAACTTAATAAATTAACTAACTAACATAGAGATACATAGAGAGACTCATAGAGACACATTGGGGCCGTCCATAAATGACGTCACGCACTTAGGGGGGGGGGGGGTTCAGACATTTGTGACGATGTGTGACGGGGGGGGTGAGAAATGTGACGTCACATCAAAATGTGCAACTTTAAATAAATATAGACAACACTTTCTACTTAATTAGACTTTTTAATAAATGTCTTCTCCTACAACATCAGAGTGCAGCGCCACATTAAATACGCACTACAATGACAATAGTTTAAAGCGATTTGAAGCAAGTTTTTTTTTTTGGGGGGGGGGGGGGCAGAGCTTTGTAACGTCATATTTGAGGGGGGGTCTGACTTTTTGTGACGCCGTGTGACGAGGAGAGGGGGGGGGTCAAAAATCGTATTACGTCATTTATGGACGGCCCCATAGCGATGTCTCGAGATTCAGCGATGTAGAGAGACTCATAGAGATACTTATACTCATAGAGATACTTTGCGATACAGAGAGACTCATAGAGATACTTAGAGGCTGAAAACTGGGCTGGGTTTCTACCAATTCTCACCCAGCCGGCTCAACGAAACTCAACAAACTAACGCGCAAGTGTTTAGTCTTCTGCTAAAGGTTGCTTAGATAGTGGGGTAGGGTGTAAAGGTGGGAGTGGAGGTGTTTTGGTCGCATAAATCCGCCGCCTCAAAGGACTTTGACTCCCCAGAGCAGAGTTCTGCATTCAGCCGCGAGCCTCGGGGCAGGGATCGTCGCCTGAGCGACTGCGCGTAGCGAGCAGGCGAGGGACTCAGGTGGGTGGCGGCGTTCTTTTACACGTGGAAATGAGACGATTCTATGATAACAGTAACAACAGTAGAGATGCTCAGACACGTACATGTAACGTGGCGTTCTTTTGGTTCCGGCTGAAATCACGGGGCCACGGTTGTATTTTAGTTGACAGCCGAAATAGTTGAACGTTTCAGCTCTGTCCTGTCTACTACCATCGTGCCGTCTGTGACGAGGTGGGACTGTCTGAGTGGTGCACTCTGTGTGTGTACTGCACTCTGTGTGTACTGTACTCTGTGTGTGTACTGCACTCTGTGTGTGTACTGCACTCTGTGTGTACTGTACTCTGTGTGTACTGTACTCTGTGTGTACTGTACTCTGTGTGTACTGTACTCTGTGTGTACTGTACTCTGTGTGTACTGTACTCTGTGTGTACTGCACTCTGTGTGTACTGTACTCTGTGTGTGTACTGCACTCTGTGTGTGTACTGCACTCTGTGTGTACTGTACTCTGTGTGTACTGTACTCTGTGTGTACTGTACTCTGTGTGTACTGCACTCTGTGTGTACTGTACTTTGTGTGTGTACTGCACTCTGTGTGTACTGTACTCTGTGTGTGTACTGCACTCTGTGTGTACTGTACTATGTGTGTACTGTACTCTGTGTGTACTGTAGTCTGTGTGTACTGTACTCTGTGTGTACTGTACTCTGTGTGTACTGTACTATGTGTGTACTGTACTCTGTGTGTACTGTACTCTGTGTGTGTACTGTACTCTGTGTGTACTGTACTCTGTGTGTGTATTGTACTCTGTGTGTGTACTGTACTCTGTGTGTACTGTACTATGTGTGTACTGTACTCTGTGTGTACTGTAGTCTGTGTGTACTGTAGTCTGTGTGTACTGTACTCTGTGTGTACTGTACTATCTGCGTACTGTACTATCTGCGTACTGTACTATCTGCGTACTGTACTCTGTGTGTGTACTGTACTTTGTGTATACTGTACTCTGTGTACTGACTGTACACTGTATATAATGTGGTGTAGTCTGTCTGTGTGTTGACTGTTTACACTGTAGACTGGTGTATTGTGTGTATGTGTACTGCCCGTGTAGTCTGTGTATAGTGTGTTGTGTACTCTGCGTGTGTTGTGTACTGTGTGTACACTATGTATAATGTGTGATGTATTGTGTGTGTACTGACTGTGTGTACACTGTATACTGTGGTATACTCCGTGTGTGTACTGACTGTGTATACTGTCCAGTGTACTGTTTTGTGTACTGACTGTGTGTACTTTGTGTATACTGTGTGGTGTACTGTGTGTGTGTGCACTGACCGTATGTACAGACTGAGTGTGGTATACTAACAGTATATATTATGTGTGTATTGTTGTTTTGTATTGTGTGTCGATATAATTATCTGACCCACAACTCTTTACGGGACATCTGTAACAAAGTGATTCATAGCTCCATCCGTATTACTCCTTCAGTTCATAAATACAGATCCTCATATTGTCTATAACAGCGGAGCCAAACCGGTTGATCGCGTTAACCAGTAACCCGAACTAATCGTAACCCGGCCAACAATTACGTGGCCTTGAGGGGTGGTGGTTTGACGGCTTCTTGTTCTGTGGCAGGGTCAGATTTAGGCCTCGGCTAAGCGAGCTCCAGCTAAGTCAGCCTACATTCATTAACGACGGGGCCCTCTTAAGTCTGAACAAAACTTACAATTGGACACACGTTGTACTTTTTTTACATAGCCCGTTGAAAAAGATATATCTTAGGGCCCCAGCATTGTCATAAACCGCCCATGCTTGGGGCTAGGTAGATGTTAACTACCTCGCCTGGGGTACATGAGGTCGTGAGTTCCATCCCGACCCTGACGATGCCTGCTGCTGTTTATTTGTAATTTTTCTCTGTCTCTCCCCGTAGTGGTCACTGCGTGGATTTTTCTCCGAGTTCTCCGGTTTTTCCCTCCCCTTTAGAATCAACGTGATGCGTTTAGAGTGTTTGGCTGCAGCTTTAAATCTCCACATAATGATGATGATAGCCACTTCGTTGAGCTATAATTTGTGGTGGCCAGGTCGCTTCTGAAAAAGATCTACACAGCTCAGTGGACCTTACCTGGTAAAATTAACATAGTTAAGTCTCTATGTATCTCTGCATTTCTATGCATATATGTGGTGTTTCTCTGTGTATCTGTGTGCTGTATTCATTCCGATATGATGGGGCCTCTTAAGCGACGTAGCTTAGGGCCCCAGCATTTTCATAACCTGGCCCTGTTCTACGGTGACATCGATCAATTAATCAGTTTTTGTTTTATTTGCTAATCTCGCCCTCTATTAAGCAGGCATCATTGCAGATTTCCCCGCACGTCCGTGTAGCATGGTTGTCTATTTACGGTGTGAAATACGTTTAATAAAAATGCATATACTCCTGTATGGTTCTCATTGCATATCTGTGCGTCTCTATGAATCTCTAGGCATTTTGATCACTGTAAATTTGGACGTGGTGATACGCTACCTCTTTGAGCTATAATTTGTGGCCAGGTTGCTTCTAAAAAAGAACTACATAGCCCGGTGAGCCTTACCTGGTGAAATAACGAAAAAGATAGTTCAGTTGAAAAATTTGTAAACGGGAAATTAAATAAATATTAAATAAAGAAGCAGATACAGGGTAGACGAGTCTGACCAGGTGCGTCTTGTACAGAGCACGGGAATTGAGCGCGACGCTCGACAAGTTTTGGGTGTCGCTATTGCAGATACGCAATTGCCTTTTGGAATAACAAATTTGAACTAAAGTTCAGCCATTCCGCAAACACCCTGGTGCTCAGCTGTTGTCGAGTAGCCCCACTTCTCCGGTGGACAGAACACATCTACTCAAAAATGTCTCCAAACTTTATTTTGTTGTTGTTGTCTATTTAGCCCACCTGTCCCACCTCGTTAGGATTTGCGGGAGCAGAGGGACAGCAGAGCGGATCGGCTCCACTTAGCATGGCAGCGGCGGCAGCAGCAGGTGGCCGGGACCGGGGCCTGGAGGAGGAACTGACTTGCTCCATTTGCCTGCAACTCTACGTCGACCCCGTGCTGCTGGGCTGCCCACACACCTTCTGCAGAGAGTGCATCGTGAGCGCGTGGCGCGACGGTGCCTGTGCCTGCCCCGAGTGCCGCAGGGTCTTGCCCTTTGGCTCCAAGGAGGAGATGCGGCTGCAGCTCGTGAAAAACTTCAAGCTGGCCAGCATCGTGGACAGGTCCTGGTCCCCGGAAAAGATAGTTAGTTGGTTAGTTGGTGGGTTAGTCCATTGGTTTAGTAAATTACATTTGTTGAGCCAGCTGGCTCGTATTGGGAAAAATTTAGCCCACTTTTCACCCAGTCTCTGTCGATCCTATGTGTCTCTGTATACCTCTTTGAGTCTCCCATGTGTCTATATGTACAGTGAGGGAAAAAAGTATTTGATCCTCTGCTGATTTTGTACGTTTGCCCACTGACAAAGAAATTATCAGTCTATAATTTTAATGGTAGGTTTATTTGAACAGTGAGAGACAGAATAACAACAAATCCAGATAAACGCATGTCAAAAATGTGAAAAATTGATTTGCATTTTAATGAGGGAAATAAGTATTTGACCCCTCTGCAAAATATGACTTAGTACTTGGTGGCAAAACCCTTGTTGGCAATCACAGAGGTCAGACGTTTCTTGTAGTTGGCCACCACGTTTGCACACATCTCAGGAGGGATTTTGTCTCACTCCTCTTTTGCAGATTTTCTCCAAGTCATTAAGGTTTCGAGGCTGACGTTTGGCAACTCGAACCTTCAGCTCTCTCCACAGATTTTCTATGGGATTAAGGTCTGAAGACTGGCTAGGTCACTCCAGGACCTTAATGTGCTTCTTCTTGAGCCACTCCTTTGTTGCCTTGGCCGTGTGTTTTGGGTCATTGTCATGCTGGAATACCCATCCACGACCCATTTTCAATGCCCTGGCTGAGGGAAGGAGGTTCTCACCCAAGATTTGACGGCCCCGTCCGTCGTCCCTTTGATTCGGTGAAGTTGTCCTGTCCCTTTATCAAAAAAACACCCCCAAATCATAATGTTTCCACCTCCATGTTTGACGGTAGGGATGGTGTTCTTGGGGTCATAAGCAGCATTCCTCCTCCTCCAAAAACGGCGAGTTGAGTTGATGCCAAAGAGCTCCATTTTGGTCTCATCTGACCACAACACTTTCACCCAGTTGTCCTCTGAATCATTTAGATGTTCATTGGCAAACTTCAGACGGGCATGTATATGTGCTTTCTTGAGCAGGGGCACCTTGCGGACGCTGCAGGATTTCAGTCCTTCACGGCGTAGTGTGTTACCAACTGTTTTCTTGGTGACTATGGCCCCAGCTGCCTTGAGACCATTGACAAGATCCTCCCGTGTAGTTCTGGGCTGATTCCTCACTGTTCTCATGATCATTGCAACTCCACGAGGTGAGATCTTGCATGGAGCCCCAGGCCGAGAGAGATTGACAGTTCTTTTGTGTTTCTTCCATTTGCGAGTAATCGCACCAACTGTTGTCACCTTCTCACCAAGCTGCTTGGCGATGGTCTTGTATCCAATTCCAGCCTTGTGTAGGTCTACAATCTTGTCCTTGACATCCTTGGAGAGCGCTTTGGTCTTGGCCATGGTTGAGAGTTTGGAATCTGATTGGTTGATTGCTTCCATGAACAGGTGTCTTTTATACAGGTAACAAGCTGAGATTAGGAGCACTCCCTTTAAGAGTGTGCTCCTAATCTCAGCTCGTTACCTGTCTAAAAGACACCTGGGAGCCAGAAATCTTTCTGATTGAGAGGGGGTCAAATACTTATGTCCCTCATTAAAATGCAAATCAATTTATAACATTTTTGACATGCATTTTTCTGGATTTTGTTGTTGTTATTCTGTCTCTCACTGTTCAAATAAACCTACCATTAAAATTATAGACTGATAATTTCTTTGTCAGTGGGCAAACGTACAAAATCAACAGGGGAATAAATACTTTTTTCCCTCACTGTATCTCTGAGTCGCAATACATGTCTATGAGTCTATGTATCCCTTTCTTCTTTTGTATGGCATTTTTGGGACAGCAACAGATTACAATTGATTTCGAGATTTAATGTTGATTCGACTTCTTCAGGAGTAGCCGCATGGATTTGTTTCAGATCGCCGTTGAATGATCTGATATGTTGCGCGGTCTGAGATCTTGCACCACAGTCACAAACTGGACTCTTGTTAATTTTCTATTTGTGAAGAAAGTGTCCACATTTCCATGGAGTGTCCGGATCTGATTCAAGGAGAACCAGATCTTCTTCGGTAGATGAGATCCTGTTTGGAGGATTGCAGGGCCGCTGATGATGGATTTCTGCAAGATTTTGGTGTTTGCCCAAGTTTCCGCTCATCGTGCTTTGGTGGTCTTGTCATCATCATGTATGTTCTTTGCATATTACAAGAAAGGTTTTCTTGATTTGAGCCTGTGTGGTGGGGGCATGGAGATGTCTTTGTTTATTGGGAGGTTTGGATTTATGATAGCCTTGCAATACTCCCTCACAGATGCAGCATTGCGACAGAGCTGTGGAGGATCGATATTTGCGAGGACCGAAAGCCACGGCAACGGTGTGCTCTTTAGCATCCCTGAGATGACCCTCATGGATGCATTTTTGTGCCCACCAGCTTTGTGTGCATGCTTTTATTCCAGGCTAGGGCACAATATCCTGCCGCAGAGAAGACTAGTGCTGTGGTGGCCGTCCGGAGTGTTGTTGCCTTTGCTCTCCATGTTCCGGCCAGTTTATGCACGAGATTAACTCGCGATTTTGTTGTTACAGCAGCATTCTGCAGGTTTTGTGGAAGGTGAGGCTGCTGGCAAGAGTTACACCGAGGTATTTGATGTACTTGTCGTGCTGGACCTCTTCGCCACAGAAAGTGACGGCCAGTTTCTGGTTGGCGCTTGCATTGTTCAGATGGAATAATGTTATAACAGTGTTCCTTGGGTTTGGGCGGAGCCTCCAGTACTTCAAGTACGTTTTGAGTTTCTTGAGGTCTCCGCACAGGTCACTTTTGACCTCAATTTTGAGTCATTCTTTGGACGGCAAGTGCTAGGTCATCGGCGTAGCCAAATTTCCGGCCGTCGGTGACAGGGAGGTCACATATCTATGTATGTTAAAAGTGCCACAGCAAGCACTGATCCTTGTGGGAGCCCGTTACTGAGGAAGCGGGCTCTGCTGACAGTGTTCTCTAGGTGGACATGGTATGGCTGGTTGGACAGTAGTGATGATAGAAGTCTGAGGGTCTACTGGCATCGGATGACCTTAGCTTTAGCACGAGGCCTTCCCACCATACTGTGTCATCGGCCAGTGATAGGTCTATGAAAGCGGCTCCTGTGATTTTTTGCACTGGTAGCCAGCTTCAATGTGTGTGGTGAGTGCCAACACTTGATAGCAAATGCTGTGGCCAGGGTGGAAGCCAGCCTGTTCAGTTGGTATAGTTTCCTCGAAGATCGGTGACCTACAGGTCAGTAGCATCCTCTATAGGAGTCTGTACACTGTAAAAAGCAGGGATATGGGGCAGAACTTATTTGGGTTTGCGGTTGACTTCCGGAATGGCAATGATCTTCATTTGTCGCCATTTTTGGGAATTTGCCTGAGGAAATTATGTCTGAAAACAATCTAGCCAGCCAATGGCATCCTTTTTGGCCAAGGTGTTTAAGAAACTTGGGATAAATCCCATTTAATCTTGTGGCCTTTCCTGATCTAGTGGCTTTTATAGCATCAATGACCTCTTCTTCATTGAAGGGGGATAACAAGGCTGTTGTCGGTGCACATTCTGCTATTAATTGGTGGAGTTTTTATTTCACTCGCTGTCTTTGCCGATCTGTAGAGATCTTTCCATTCAATAGCATCTGTGTGGCGATGGCATTGATGGGCACATTGGCGGTCTTGTGTCTCGGTGGTGGTGCTGCTCCTTGGTGTCTCAGGAGACAGCAGGCTTTATGGCTTGAGTGTGTGAAATCTAATGACTCCATCGCTTCTGTCCACCTTTGGCTCTGAGTTTCCTGACTCTGTATTTCTGGAGTAGGGACTTGCTTTGTCCTTTCCAGCATGGAGTGTATTCTGCCAAGTAACCCCATGGAATTTGTGAGTGGGCTGCTTGAGCATAATCTTGGTGAAACGTTCATAGTTTTCTGACTTTGTTGGATTCTGGGAGACAGTGCATACGATGTCTTCAATAAAATATTTCCAGTTGCCCTTTCTTAAGTTGCATCGTGGCACAGGGGTGGACGTGATCATCAGAATTTTGACCCCGATGTGCACCAAGCCTGGCCTGTGCTAACTGTTCGGGAATTGTCTAGAACCATTCTAGAAGCACACAGCGGTTCACCCGAACAGGAACACGACACAAAGCACGGGTAAGGGTTTGAATCCATCTTCCATCGTGCGGAATGGAAGGTGCCTTGATCTTTAGCATCAAACAGAATGAACAGATAACTAGTTGCTGCCCAGTCGATGACCCATTCTTCACAGGTTTCATTGGTTGAATACACCAGGCCATGTGATGGCTGTTGAAGTCACCTGCGAAAACCGCGGGATGGGTCGCAGCAGGCAGCATGTTTGGGCTCCATGTGGTTCTTGGAGGTTTATATACATTTATCACAGATACATAATTGATTTTGACGATGATGATGGATGTCGGTATGTTGTTTTCTGCGTTCGTTGTGGTGAGGTCCTTGAAATGGAATTTCACGTGGCGTCGGTAGTCCCTGCTTGGGATGGTGGTAGCTGGCAGGAATTTTCATTTTTGAGGCTCTCGTCGTCAGCTGTACAGGAGTTTCTTGGAGCAGGAGCACGTCGAGCCATCTGGATTGCGAGGAAATGTCCCAGCAAGTCGCACTTCGGCCTTGATATATACTTCTACATTTAGATAGCAGAAACGTAGTGACGGCCCTATTCTGTGGTAAGTTTGGCAATGAAAAGGATCTTTGGTGTTGTAATCCTGATCAGGAGGGCCATTTTGACATTCAATCACTGGGATGATAACATCAGTTTGTGACAAGCACGTTACAGTGCAGACCATGGGTAGATTGCCATCTTCTCCACCTATGTATCTCGTTTAGTCTCTATGTATCTCTTAGTCTCTGTATCTATTAATTTCCTATGTATCCCTAATGAGTCTCTATGTATCTCAATATATATGTATCTCATCTCGATGAGTCTGTTTAACACGTAGGCTTTCGCGACCAATATACTCCATAATACAGGTTTTTTTGGGTTAGATCACGTAAATCTATAAATGTGTCTTTAAACCCGCCACCACCTGACACAGCCAATTTAGTAAGGTTTGTCACATAGACAGAACATGCCAATTCGTTACTAGTACAGCACACAACATTTACAAGCTGAGTACTCAGATTGTAAATGTTGTGGTTTTGCTCGCCAACACACCAGTGTGCTGTGTTAGTAACAAATTGGCATGTTCTTTTTACTTGACAAACCTTACTAATTGGATGTGTCGGGTGGTGGCAGGTTTTACGACATATTTATGTATTTGCTCTATGAGTCTCTATTACATCTCTATGTATCCCTATGAGTCTCTGTATCTTTATGAGTATCTAAATATCTTTATCTCTACGAATCCATACGTATCTCTACGTATCTTTATGAGTATTTATGTATCTATGTGGCTCTGAATCCATATGTATCTTTATGAGTCGGTTAGTTTATTAAGTTTGCTGAGCCAGCTGACCAGGATGTGGCAAAACCCATCCCACTTTTCACCCAGAAAACTGAAGAGCAGCATATACTAAGCATTACTCACCTTACATTAAAACTGACAACATTTCAGAATCAGAGTTAAAATTAAACAACACTACTTCCTAGGATATGTTAATTCGAAATGGTTATTTTCTCTCTATTTCTGTATGGTGCTCTGAAGCCCTATTTTGGGTCTGCTGCGCCTTATATACACGTTCATAGTAATAATAAAGAGTGACCAAGGTAAAAGTAAGAAAACGGTTACACCTTCTTTGGTGCAACCAAATGATGCAGGCATTGATGGGAAGGAAACTGGCACTATTTGGACAGAATAGTGCCAGTTTTAGGATGGACAACAACAACATTTTAAAGTGTGGTGTTGTTGTTTGAGGAAAATTTTAAGGAACCGGAAAGAGTGAAAGACAAAAACAGAGAATGGATTGACGACGACTTTATAAGAGATTGGTGCTGAAAAGACATGGCACTATTGGAGTCATATTGGCACTACAAGATGAAGAAAAGTGGAAAGTAATGACTGTTTCAGTGGACACCTACTATGGGGGCTATCAACCCATGGATGATGATAAATAATTGTAAAAAGCATCAAATTACAGAGGTAGGCTTATGACATTTTTCGTGATTTATAACACGTTGTGGATTTACAGAACAGGCATGATGCTCCCACATCTTAAGACGCTGCTGTGTAGAAACAGAGCAAGTACGCAACCCACAACATGCTGTATACCATAATTAAGGTTTTTTAGGGTTAGATCGCGTAAATATAAACGTGTCGTTAAACCTGCCACCGCCCAACACAGCCAATTAGTAAGGTGCGTCACGTAAACAAAATGTGCCAATTCGTTACTAGTTCAGCACACTGGTGTTTTGGAAAGTAATCCCACAACATTTACAAAATACCATGTATGTATGTATAACCACTTTCACACCGTACATAGCCAACCGTGCTAATTGGAGGTGATGGGGGAAGGACAACAAACTAAACTAAAAAAAACTCCCGGTCTCTGGAGTTGTCATCTGGTTAAACAAATTATACTTGTAACCTGAAACTGTCTTTTGTCTCGCGAGTCCCTACTCATGTTTCGTGACAGTACAATACTAAACGAAACTCTTTTACATTTTACCAGATAAGGCCCACTGAGCTATATAGCTTTTTTTCAGAAGTGACCTGTCTATAACAAATGAATGCTCAACCAACTGGATTATCATCACGTGCAAATTCATAGCAGAAGTCAAATACTCTAAGCTCATGATTGTTGATTCTAAACGTAGAGGGGGGAAAAATGGAGGACCCGGAAAAAAATCCATGAAACCACTACGGGAGAGAGAAGCAGACTCCAAATATACAGAAGCAACCACTGTCAGGGTATGGGATCGAACACACGACCTCCTGCATACCAGGCAGGGTAGTTAACATCTCTGCACCGCGATACCCCAGTGTTTGTTGTTATAAATGCAGAGGGGAAAACTGGACAACCAAGGAAAAATCCATAAGACCACAGGGAGAATGAACACCCACACTCTAAATGTATAGCAGATTTCGGGGTCGGGATCAAACCCACGACCTCCTGTGCACCAGCTGAGATAGTTAACATCTTGCCACCGTGGTGCCCCAATGTGGACAATTGAGCTACGGGAGATATAGCCGCTATTCACGGTCGCTCAGTGAAGACTGTTTGTACCAATAGGTTCTCAAGTCTCAGCCCGGAGGGGGAACGGCCGCGGAAGGAGCTCAACCCGAGCTTGGCACTAGCGAGGCCCCCGAATCTGGACCTCTGTGCTCAGCATGGCAAGGCACTTGTCATGTTCTGCCAGGAGCATGGGGCGTCTGTGTGCGCCGACTGTGTCACGAGCGGTGCACACCGGGGCCACAAGCTCACGTCAACAGAGGAGGCTGATCGGCAGGCAAAGGTGAGGTGCTCTGAACACGGCAACCGCGTGGTGATGGTGGTGGTGATGATGGTGGTTGTGGTGTTGATGATGGTGGTGATGGTGGCGATGGTGGCGATGGTGGTGGTCGTGATTGTAGTGGTGTTTGTGGTGATGGTGGTGGTACCGACAATGGTGGTGGTAGTGGTGGTGATGTTGGTGCTGGACGGTAATGGTATGGTGAGCAGTGCCATGTGCGGAGGGCGAATTTAAATTTGCCATTTTCCTCATGGTGTTTGTAGCCACCACAGCGTCCAAAGTGGGCTCTGGACAGATGCAAGGGGCTGGTAACCTCTCCACATTCAATTACCACTAATCCACAAAAAAATATATACAGCTAAGCTGTCCCAGGGGGGACAGTCATCTATGATGTCTCCTGTCCAAACTTACATTTGGTGGAGCCAGGAGATTGAATCCTTACCCTTGGGGTCCCTATAGAAACAGCAAAAAGCCACTGCGGGTGGCCACCTGGAATGTTCAAACGCTCACTGCGGAGGAGAGGATGTCACTCTTCTGTCGGGAGCTTGACCGGTACCGCCTGGATCTCTGTGGTATTTAGGAGGTCCAGTGGACCGGCTTTGGCTCCTGCCACCATGAGGGTTAGACAGTCCTCTACTCGGGGCAGGAGACTGCCAAACAACAGGGAGTGGCTCTTCTTCTGAACAAAATAATGAATGGGGCATGGGAGTGTGGCAGTGAGGTGTGGGAAGCTGTACGCCCCAGACTACTTTGGGTTCGCCTTCCTATCAACCAGAGGCGAGGAGTGGAGGACGTGGTTACTTATGCCCCCACCGAAGATGAACATCAGTGGAGGGATGCCAGCAAGGCCGATGAATCAAATGCATTTTATGACCTGTCACAGGTGCGAGCTAAAGTGGCCCCTCGAGATAGAGTCATCCTGTTGGGTGACTTTAATGCCCGAGTTGGTCATGATGCTGGCACCAGGTCTGGATTGATTTGAAGGCATTGGCCGGGTTAGCACAATAACATCGGTAGGAGGCTGCTTGACTTTTGTGCAGCCCATGAGCTTGTAATTACCAACACTCTGCTCCGGCATCGGCGCATCCACACAACATAATGGATGCACGCCAGGTCAAAGCAAGAACATCTGCTGGACTAGGATAGTGACGGAACAGTGGATGCAGACCCATGTCCTTTGCACCAGGACCTACTTTGAAGCTGATCTGCCCACTGATCATAGACTTGTCATCTGTAAGATGCACCTGCATTTTTCCACTCTACTTTTGGGTGTATACCCAGGACCCCATTCAAACACACAATGGCCTGATCTCAGATAGCTGATGAAAGTTGCAAGCGAGATTTTCATCATTGCTTTCAGCTGAGGTTGACCTCGTCCCCCACTCCTCATGATGCCGAGGGGAAATGGTTGAGGTTAAGGACTGTGGCTCATGCAGCTGCAATGGCTGCTTTAGGTACATTGTCCAGACCTCCCCAGAGACCCTGGCTGACAGGGAGGTGTTCAGGCTGTCTGATAAAAAGCACCAGGCCCACTCACCGCCTATAGCATCCCACATCAGAGAATGAGGAGGCTTACCTCAGCCTTCACTCGGAGGTTCGGAGAGCCATGAGGCGCTGCAAGGATGGGTGGTGGTCGCGGGTTGCTGAGGAGATGGAGTCTGCCTCAGTAGCTCGCAACCACAAATCACTCTAACTCCATCAAAAACGTCACTTGCAGTCTTACACCTATCACTATCATTAGGGGAAAAAACAGTGATCCAATCTCCAACCCCCAGGAACAGGTTTTCAGATTTTTCTGAGCATTTCTGAGGTCTTGGGGGAGGGGAAATCACTCAGCTTGGAAAACAATGGGGCAAAGTGAGGATGACCCTGCTGAGGATGCAGTGTCTTAAATATTGAAAGAAGTAGTCACCCCCTGGAGTGGCTGGCTGAGGTGCCAGTTGTTAACGAAGAACTGAAGGCGATCCAGAGTCTTAGACCGGGAAACGCACCAGACAGCAATGATCTCCCAAACAAAATGCTGAGGGAGGGTGGTGTTTGTACACAGACTGCCCTACATGACATTATATTAAGTCTGGACCACTGGACGGGTTCCACAGAATTGGAAGGATGCCCTGGTGGTTCGCCTCTTTAAGAAGGGGGACTGTACAGACTAGGCCTCGGCAAAGTAAGGTAAAAGTTAAAATGTAAAAACAACGAGCCTATTTTTACCCTACCTTTTACCTTACCACAATACAATCACTCTAACCTACCTTTTACCCTTTAGCAGGTAAGGTAAAAGGTAAAAAGCAACGAGCCTACCTTTTACCCTTACCCCATATAAATTACCCAATTACAGGGTAATTACTAGGGAACTACGACACATGAACAAGGTTTATAATGGTAAATGCTAGGGAGAGCGCTTTATGCATATAGAATACTCTCGATGATTCCAATTTTACACGCTTGTTGTCGTTGTCATTGTTGTTGTCGTTGTCGTCGTCGTTGTCGTCGATTGTATCCTCAAATCTTGTAACTAAATCTTTACCCACTTCCTAATGTGGTATCGACTGCAAACTTGGTATACTTATGTCATACTGATGACAACACTATATTCTATCATAAAATCCTTTTTTAAATCCTTTATATTAAGTTCGCTTGCTTGCTTACGACCGTGCAAATCTTTCGGTCGTTTTTTAACCCACTTCCCGTGATCCAATCGAGCTGACATTTTCCACACAGACTCGTTGTGCGTGACAATTAATGTTCGTGAAAATTTTTTTCCAAAATTTTACACTTTTTAGGACAAAAAAATTATATTTAATTACCAATTGCTTAATGGTGCAATGCACTCATCTGACCCATAGGTGGCAGCCATCTCAAGCCAGAGGACGAGAGGACTCTAGCCGCCACGCATATAAAGGATTTATAGTGAAAAACTTTGTTTTTACGGGTTATACTTGTTATATGTTATGTTTCGGCTTGGATCTAATTGTCCACGCTCAACTGACGTTGGCTGTAATTGGCCACGGGCCCTTACGTTTTGGCAAGCTTCGGGGCCACTTCCTGGAGTCGTGGAGTTCTAGCCATTACTCGTACATTTAATAAAAGCGTGTTTTTAAGAAAGTAAAAAAAAATATTACTTATTAAATGTAGGCCACGGACTGCGCCACGGAGCTTTTAGTGGTAAACAAGGTACCGTATTTACCGGGTAATACTTCGTGCTACCTTTACCCTACCTGGGTAATTCTTCCGAGGCTACCTTTACCCAACCCTTTACCTTACCCCTTGGCATGTCGACACCTTTACCCGTTACCTTTACCCTTTTACCCGGTAAAAAGAGTAAATTACCTTACCTTGCCGAGGCCTAGTACAGACTGTAACAACTACAGGGGCATCTCACTCCTTTATGCTGGGAAAGGTCCTGCCAAAGATTATTCAACATCGCCTTGCCAGGCACGCTGAGGAGAGGTTTGCGGAGCCTCAATGTGGTTTCAAGGAAGGGCGGTCCTGCACAGATTCTATATTTTACGTCCGTCTGCTACAGCAGAGATGCAGGGAGTTCCAACACGACCGATGTCTCTGCTTTATTGACCTGGTCAAGGCCTATGATACATTAAAAGGCATCGCTTTCCCACCTGATGATGGACGCTTGTGTTGCGCCCGAAACGTCGTGATTTATTTTATTTTATACCTATGTGACTTTACCAAAAAAACCAAAGAGTATCATTAAGGACCTTAATGATGGTGAGCAAGCCCAGGGTTAAACTACGTGGCCGGGAGTCGGAGCCATTCCTTGTTCACCTTGAGTTGCGACAGGGGTATCCTCTGGTTCCCACGTTATTTAACGACTATTTCGACCACGTAGTTCATTAAGCCTTTGATGGTTTTACCGGAGGAATTTCCATCTGGTACAAATATAATGGGAGGCTGATCGATGTCCGGGTGCCATCAAGGGATGGCTCTATATTGGGCACTGCTCCTGAAACTGGAGCGTGCCACTAAGAGGTGGGGCCTTACCATCAGCCCCACCACAACTAAGCACCTGCCTGGGTATTTTGTACCATCAGACACTCAACCCCAACAACTCCCAATCGGTGATGGGGCAGTTGTGGAGAGAGTGGAGAGTTTCCCATACATGGGCAGTGTGCTCATGACCGGCTCCAGTTTGACAGCAGAGGTCTCACTCTGAATCGGTCAAGCGGCATTAACTTTTCATCGGCTGCATAACGCTGTATGGAAGCTACCCGGTCTGTCGCTCCACACAAAGTTTCGGGTCTTCTCGGCCACTGTCATGCCCTCCCTTCTCTATGCTTACAAAACGTGGACCCCCCTAATGAATCATCTTTGCCAGTTAGAAACATTTAGGCTGGCCTGCCAACGATCTTTCCTGGGTTTAACCAGGCTGGATTGTGCCAGGAGCTCACAAATCCTTGAAAAATCTAGGCAATGTCCCAATGGTGAGCTCCGGCAGGCAAGGCTGTGTTGGTTGGGTCATGTAGCCCACATGCCCAGCCACCGCTTGCCTAAACAGTTTTTGGTTATACCAGCTAAACGGCCGTGACACGGGCTGGAGAAGAGATGGAGTAATGTGGTACAGGAGGATGTAGAGCTGATTGGACTTGCCGATGACTGGTACAAGCGGTGTCAAGATCGGCCTCTGTGGAGGAGGCTCCTGAAGGACGATACTGGGCAGTTGGAGGCAGTCGCCCTCCAGCAACAACGGTGGACAGAGGAGCGATGCTCACAACAATGAGCAGACTGCCGGGTGGCTAAAACATAGCAAGTTGGCATAGTAGGGGGCACAGTTGGTGCATCAGCCAGTTATCTCAGTCAGTCGAACCATGGCACCTGGGTCTGCCCCGTGATGTACTGCTGGTGGGTGTTTGATACTTCACGTGGCCTTAACATGCCATGCACATAGCCTGGCACAAGCGCCATGGTGAGATCACTGTCACTTAGTGGGAAATGGCGGTTGTTGGTGGTGGTGGTGGTGATGATGATGGTGGTAGTAGTGGTGATGGCTGTGGTGTGGCTCAGAGGTCAGATTCGAATCTGGGTTTGGGCCAAGCATGGTTGTGACTGCCCTCCTCGATTGATGCGACTTCGTGAGATGAGTGCAGTCACGAAGCAAAAAAACGTTGGAGTTTTGCACTTGAACTTTGTTTTAAACTCGACTCGTGGTGCCCACTGGCACACGCAAAACTAAAACTAAAAAATCCACATTGAAAATAGATAAACTTGCCAAAATCAACAGCGTTGCATTGAACACGCCTCGCATCGTTCCAGGACTGTGGTGCATTTAGTAAACAATAATCTAACAAAAAACTACAAACTTATTTTTTTTTACCAGGAAAGGTCCACTTAGCTTATACAGATATTTTTCAGAAGCTACCTGGCCATTACAAATCGTAGCTGAAGCAAGTTGCATATCATTTCAATATTTATAGTAGCAGTGAAACACTAAACACGTGATGTTTATTCTAAATGTGGAGGGAAAATTGGAGGACCCAGATACAAATCCACGCGACTGTGGGAAGAGAAAGGAAGAGAAAGAGGGAGAGGCATGCAAACTCCACATATACAACAGACATCAGGGTTGGGATCAGACCCCCCACCTGTATACCAGGCGAGGGAGATTAGATCTCTTAGCCACCGTGAGTAGGCTGTGTGAATCCTGGTCTCCTTCCGCTCTTCAATGAACCACTCAATGAGGGATTTGTCGATCGCTCATAATGCAAGACCTTCGGGAGAAAGCCTTATGAAATCAGCGGAGGGTAAATCATCATCACGATCGATGGGGCGAGAGTCTCAACGTCTTACAATTTGTCAGCCAGAGAGTGTCAAAGGTCGTTCCGGACCACAGCATTTCCGAGCCGGGCACAGTCTAGTCGCTTCTTTCCTGACTTCTGGAGACACCTGTAGTTTGGTCGTGATAAGTCTGTGATCTGTCCAGCACTCAGCACCTCTCATTGCACGGGTGAGTAAGACGTCTTTTATATTGGAACGTCTCACAATGATGTCATCTATTAAGTGCCAATGTTTGGCACTTAATAGATGCAACCTGGGTGCATCCAGGATGTATTATATTTGTCTTTTAGTTGAAATATGGTGTTCGTGATGGTCAAGCTATGCTCAGCGCAAAGGGTCAATAACCTCATGCCATTTTGCATTAGCTTGCTCAATGCCATGCTTACCAATAACTCCACTCCACACCTCATTGTCCTTTCCCACCCCAGTATTGATGTCACCCAGCAAAAAAATATTATCATTGCTGTGGATGTGACGGTGGGCCTCATTTAGTGCTTGGTAGAAGCGATTCCTAACCTCGCTCTCTGATGGTAAAGTCGGTGCATAGCCACTTATAAGTGTGGCATAGTGCTTCTTTGCTAGCGAGATGCATATAGTAATGAGTCTCTTATTTATGTCAATCGGTGTCTCTGTGAGATTGGGTAGGAGGCTGTTTTTTTAATGCAAATCCCACACCATGTAGATGTTGTCCTCCTTGGAGGTATCCCTTCCAGAAGAAGGTATAACCCTGGCCTTCCTCCTTCAGGGAGCCTTCATCCAGGAGTCTGGTTTGGCTAACAATGTCAATGTTTTATCGCTTTAGTTCCGCTGCAACTACGGCAGTTCTTCAATGGGGTCTCTCAGTAGGGTTTTTACACTCCACGTTGCCAGTTTAAGGGAGATTTTTTCTTATTATATTCTTAGGTCTTTCGGTAATGTCACGTCGATTGACCCAAGAATATGAATTCCTGTAGTCCTGAAAACTTTAATTCAAGATTTATTTTTTTATTGTTTTTTCGACCGCAGACTGGAACAACCCTATAGGTGCGATTACCTATCCATGTAAGTTTGAGTTTGTAATGTTTAGGCCACCTTTTCAAGGCCCCTTTCCATTCGGGGTGATCAGTGCGGATCCTAAATTGGACTACTCAGTCACACAGGGGTGTGCCGAGAGCAGCTGCAACTCAGTCCCAGCTGCTACTGACCAAATGCCCTGTGCCGCTGGCGTGCGGGGCTCTGACTAGGAGCTTTTGGATATGTTCGTACCTGCTCCCCTCACCAGACCACTCAACGCCGCCAGACTTTTCTCCAGTTTTTCCAGATGCGCGATTCACAGAGGCAGAAGTGGGTACCTGCGCAAAGAGTATATTTAGAGTGCGGTTGGTGGGGTGCAAGTCCCAACAGCACTTCTTTACTGCAATAGGATGGAATCCAGTGCAAAGGGAGAACCCAGGACGAATGGCACTCTTCCACAGTTGCAGGAGGCTGCCGGAGCTCCAGTCTATCGGAGGACCACCTTTCGCACGCCACCAAGCACGTTGCTTCAATCTCAGGGTGTGCTCCCCGAGCTTTTGTCTTCCCAGACTTTTCCACAAGGCCGCGGGAACACGGCTATAGACACAAAGACAGATACAACATTTTTTTAATAATAATGTTAATAAATAAATAAATAGGTTTGATGAAATAATGTAGTGGTACTTGCATGTATGTGCTTAATTTGTGTTCAACGATTTTGCTTCTAAAAACATCTGGCATGTCTCACACCCCCAGAAAGGGCATCTCGCACCCCCAGGGGGTTCGTGCACCCCAGGTTTAAAACAACTGGTGTAGTGTATAGCGTAGTGTATAGTGTAGCTTATAGTCGTGTCATGAATAGTAGTGTAGTGTATCATCATTATGATCCATGAGGCAAGATAGCCCGGAGTAGGTGCCCACTGCACTTTTCTTCACTTGTTGTTTCCACTTTCTCCTCTGTCTTGAAGTGCTAATATGGCTCAAGTTAGTGGCTACATCTTTCTGGCACCAATCCCCTTATGACGCCTTCTTCAAGCCATCGTTTTCTGTGTTTGGTCTTCCTCTCTTTCTGGTTCCTTACATTTTTTCTGAACAACAACAACCCTTTTCATTTAATAGGTAAATATCGCGTATGATTTAAATCGTTTTGCTAAAGGCTTTTTTGTTTGGTTTGTTTTCTTTTTTTAAAACAGGAATCCCTTTCGTGTTCACTCGAAAAACTTATGACACATAATGGGAAAGTTTCAGCAAGATTGAATATACTGAAGAACACGGAAGCCAATGTAGAGGTGAGACCCAATAACACAATAACACGAATTCCCATGAAATGAAGATGACTGATGATGATACAGATACTCGACTTTATTAACCTTCCAGGCAATAATAATAATAGATTAGGCGTTTACGATGTTCAAACAGCAAATAGACAACGATTATATAATTCACTGTGTAACAAAATAATTTTTTTGTTCCTGGGTAGTAAGTAAGCAAAGTTTGTGGGGAATAATAGCCATTTTCTATACTTTTGAGGCATAAGAAATTAGAAAATAACACTTACTACCCAGGAACAAAAATCGTGTTACATCGTGAATTATCACGACAAGGCATGATCAAGTCTGCACCAACCACAACATCACACTTGTGGTAAAACGTAAAAACAAACGTGCTTTGATAGTAACATATGCACTAGCTTTGAAACAGAAAAAAGTCAGTTATATTGGCCAAAAAGGGTACCATAGATGTAACTGCTCAACCCGGGCTATTGATACTTTGATATTTGCATTGTCATCGTGCTGTTCGCCTTTTGGCGTTATACTCTGTTATAATACCGGGACTCCTTTTTTACCAGTATCACTGATTGTCGTACACCACTATCAGGATGATCACCTTGATACATCTGATGGTTATCTTGAAACATCTTGATACTGGTTGCAGGCCAATTAGTTCCAAGGAGAATGCCTACATTATAATCAAAGCAGTTTTGTTTGCATATTTTACTATAAGCATGGTGTGTGGTTAATGCAGACTTGATGAGGCCTTGTAGTGATAGTCGGTGTCCATTTTGGTTTTTGGGTGCCCTCGTGGCTAGGAGATGTTATCTCCCACGCCTCGTATGCAGTAGGTTGTGGGTTTGATTCCGACCCTGAGGATGCCTGCTGCTGTATCTTTTGAGTTTGGTTGTCTCGCCCCCCGTGGTTGTTGTGCGGATTTGTCTCCAGGTCCTCCGTTTTTTCCAAACACATTTAGAATCAATGTCACGCATTTAGATTATTTGACTGCTGCTATACATTTCCACCTGATGATAATAATCAATTTGGTTTAGCTATCAAAAAATATGTTTGAACATCTTAATACCTCTCGTGTTCTTGTCAGAAACAGTAAAGCCCATTCCTACGTAATTTGTTCCTTCCTCCACGAATTCCTTTGTTTAGATGAATACCTCACATGCTCATTTTCGTGCTGCCCTTTGATTCAGAACATTAATACCGATTCCACTTAATGCCGATATCAAACCGGCCACCACACGACATAGCCAATTAGTATGGTGGATTGTCAAGCCAATAAAATGTGCCAATTCGTTACTTGTTGGAGAGTAAAACCCCCCACAACATTTGCAATTCATATACTGACGTTTCGCCGGTAATTATTAACAACCAGCCATATCAGGTGACAGCCAGAATTGTGGAGAAATCTTCCTGTTTCGGTCTTAAATGTAGGAGAAATAAATGTGATGCCAATTGTGAACCAATCAGAAGAGAAGAGGGGGGGTTAATATATTAATATAAATTGCAATAGACATCTACTATTGGTTGGGTTATTTATTGCAAGCTGCCGTCATGCTGGTGTGGCGCGTTGCTGATGCTCCTACCAGCGAATTGAGCGGCAGCTCCGTCAATTGTTCTTTCTCGCATGCCACAGTGTGTCCAATGCCCCTTCGCCTCCGCCAACCCACACTCACATCCACGTGGCAAACTTTGGACGAATGACAGCTCGCAACTCACGTGGTTCATGCTTATCCATGCAGCGGTGGTACTTGCAACTACAACTGTAATCTTTTCACGCTAAAATTATATACTCGTCCCCTTTCAGGGAACGTCAGCAGCTTTTGACAAATCCATAGACGACGCTTTTAACGCTGCAATCAAGTCCCTCGAGGAAGAAAGGGCCACGCTCAAGCAGTTGGCACATGCAGAACAGAGTCAACTATTGGGCCTAATCCGTGCCCAGATGGCGCCCCGAGAGATGATGGTCGCTGAGATGGTGGTTGTCACCAAAGAGGTGCAGGCGGCTTTGCAGGAAACGAATCACGTGCGGGCTATCCAGGTACGTGGAGAACAGAGGACACCAGTAGTGTGGAAATGGTCAATAGCACCTTCTGCTACTGCTGCTGCATTGGCTTCCGGTTGCTGAACGGAATACAGTGTTATAAGGTCGCGCTCATGACACACACAAAGTGCCTGCCACGAATGAACCACACAATACTTTCGGTGATCTCGTCAATGAGCTGTATACCACCATCATGCGAACTCCTGTCATCCTTGCAGCAGCAGTGGCAGCGGCGGCTATTGGCTCAGCCGTTGAACAAAAACGGTCACCACTTCATTGCGTGGCATTTTCAAACACGCTGCTTCTGCGGCCATCTGGAATACTTTTCCTTCTGATATTAGGAAGCCACTGAGAGCTACGATGCACCTTTACATCATCTCGATTGACAAACTCATTTCTTTAGTCTAACACGTAGGCTTTCTGTTTGTTTAAGGAGAAACCCTATTTTCGACTTAAAACCATTAGATTTGTATTTCAGTTTTTTAAGTAAAGTCTTAGACTCGCAAACCAACTGACCTGGAAGAACTTAAACATTATTTTGTGAATGCTGAGTCATCATGCATGCCTACAGCTGTGTTTTAAAATGTTTTTTTTTCTGAACGATGGGCGACATATACAAGTTTATTAATAATTCGAGCATATCTAATCAATACCATAACAAATTAAATAAACTAAAACGTGAACGTCTATTACTTGCAGCATTCATATTAAATTCATATCAGCATCGCGAATGACAATATAGATATTTAACGGTTTTTTTGGTGTAGCATTCATTTTGGGACACCCCGTATATCAACATGAGATGAGGTTACCCTGAGATGGTGACCAGCTTACCAATGGATGTCTCACGCGTGCGCCCCCTGTCCCTCTGTCGCAGGTGAGCGGTGAGTTGGAGAGAAGGTAGGTCGCGCACCTTCACGTCACTCCACGGCCACTCAACTTCCCAATCCCAGTTTAATTGAACATTCAATATCCATATTTTACTGGTACTACGATGGTGAATAAATAATATGCTCGCTTAACCCTTCCCCGCAATGATAACACCGGAGTTGTGTTAAGATGTCGAGACACCTACGATCGTAAGTCCATCAAGTTTGTGTTCACCCGCACATCATGATTGTAGTGAAAAATGCAAACAGACTTCGATAAGAATAATCTACGCATTGTCCTTGGAACTGATTGGCCTACACCAGAGCTACAGTCTCCTTTATGGCCTTGTCATGAAGGAGACTGTATTATTGCCATATTTTATCATAATCGTGATAGTACCGACCCTGATGCCTGCCGCTGTATATTAGGAGCCTGCATTTCTCTCTCTGTCCTGGTGGTTGCGTGGATTTTTTTCTCCGGCTCCTCCGGGTTTTTCCTCCACATTTAGAAACATGCATCTAGACTATTTAGATTATTTTGCTGCTATAACCGTCAAATTTGTAAGCCACTTTGTTGAGTTATCATGTGTGTCCAGGTAGCTTTAAAAAAATAAGTTATTACCTCAGTGGGATTTGTCTGGTAAAAGCGAGTTGGTTTTGTGTTATTTGTATGTTTGGGTAATTTTTTTACCTTTCTTGTACTTTTCACTATGATCATGTTTTTTGTATTGTTTGTTATAACGTTTGTATCCATGCCTACTGCAAATCTGTGAAAAAGAGATTTATACCTCATCGGATTCCTCCAGGAGGCTGTTGCTCTGGTGCAGGCCAATCAATTTTGAAGACAATGCATACATTGTTATTATTATCAGTGAACGTTTGTTTTCATGTTTTGCAACGTGCGTGATGTGTGGTTCATGCAGACGTGATGATGCCTTTCAATAATGTATGTTTATTTAGTGTTTGAACATCTTAACACAACACCTGTATCATTATTCTTATTCTTACCGGGAAGGGTATTGCAATCCTATTCTTTGTAATCATCATGATACTGGCCAACAAAGGTTTTCCTATAGATCCACAATATTCTCATTCCTTATTTATATTTTCCACGTTCAGGATAACGGCCGCGATGATGAAGAACCCACCAAATGACAACATCGTGACTAGAGACCTCTTTTCGTCCTTGCGTGGCCTGCTGGAGAGTCTCTCCCCAAGAATCTCCAATTGGAAGACAGAAAACGCGATGCTCAGAAGTAAGTATGTGTGTGTGTATGCGTGCGGTGGCGCAGTGGTTAACGAATGGCTGCGTTGCGAACCAGGCGACCCAAGTTCAATTCCCGCTCATGGCCACCAACACCAGTGATGTTTATATGAACCGGTCCTGGGCCCCCAGCCCCCACCCCAGCTCAACTCAGCCTCAAATGAGTACCTGGTGTGGTGTGTAGTAAACATCACCACTGGGGAGACAAATGTGCCCGGGTCTGGTGATAGCCAACCACCCCCTCAGTGCTGCTCGATAACAACACTGGCCCCTGCAGACTGCTACAGGCTATACAGGGGATAGTTTTATTTGACGTCAAAGTTGTGGAATAGAGAACACACTTAATAATAATATAATTAATCTATATATATAAAATCGTGAATCTGTCTGTCTGTCTGTGTGTCTGTGTGTCGCCGGACCATACACACTTTCATTGGACGGCGGTTGCCCCTGGCAACGGGTAGCGACGCCTTCGCCGCTTTCATTGGACGGCGGTTGCCCCTGCCAACGGGTAGCGACGCCTTCGCCAAGGGGTGGACGTCATTTTTTATTCCCGTTAAAAATAGCCGCACGCATTAACACGCGACTCTCACGTACATTCATCACAGTTTCACGTCCTCTTCACTCCCCTCCCACCCCAATGTGTTCTATTACTATTATAGGCTCCGTAGATAATAAAATAATAGCGATTAGACAGTATTATTGTAGCGCGGGGGGGGGGGGGGGGACGCCACCCGTACCCTGCCTCTGCCGGGTGGGCAATTTAGGCGAGGCCGGAGGCTCTGCACGCTACTAGGCCTCGACACCCACCACGCGACTCTGAGGTAAATTCATCAAAGTTTCACGTACTCTTCACTCCCCCCCCCACCACAATGTGTGCAATTAATATTACTTTTAAACCCAACGCGCCAAGAATCTATTCTTTAAATGGTGACTGTACAAATAGTCATTAAGCTGGGTGAGCGTACTGCCAGTCTATAATGTTGACTGTAGCCTGCTTATTAAATTGCCTAAGTGTACTGGCAGTCTATAATGTAGACTGTAGCCTGCTTATTAAGCTCGGTGAGCGTACTGCCACTCTATCATGTAGACTCTAGCCTGCTTATGAAGCTGAGTGGGTGTACTGCCAGTCTATAATGTAGACTGTAGCCTGGTTATTATAATGGATTCTTTAAATGTTCTTTGTACAAATAGTCATTAAGCTGGTTGAGCGTACTGGCCGTCTATAATGTAGACCAGGGGTCGGGAACCTTTTTGACTGGGAGAGCCATAAAAGCCAAATATTTCTAAATATATTTCATTGAGAGCCATATAGTATTTTTAATGTTTAATAAATTAAATATGTCTTACTTTTAATGCGACTTCTGGTGTTGCATGGTTTTGCTGATGGCCTTGTAGTCTGGTTCATACGTGGTGAGGTTGAGCTTCATGCAGGCGTGACCCGTGAAATTTATCTTCAAAACTAATTTCTGTTTACTTTAAAATGACACAGTATTATTAAACAATATCACAAGTATTTTAAAATCAGTTCCAAACTGATTTTTTGTTTTTTCATTATTTTTATTTTTTTCAACTCAAAATTGTCTGGGAGCCATATGCCGTCACTGGAAGAGCTATATATGGCTCGCGAGCCATAGGTTCCCGACCGCTGATGTAGACTGTAGCCTGCTTATTCAGCTGGGTGGGTGTACTGCCAGTCTATCATGTACACTGTAGCCTGGTTATGAAGTAAAGTTAGTCAATTTGTAACACGTACGCTTTCGCAAACATTATTCATAAACAACGTTATTCGGTTTAGATCGCCTTATTTATTTATGTGTTGTAACCCTTATCCACCACCCGACACGCCCAATCTGCTAAAAATTGTCACGTTCCTAAAACACTAAGACTTGACTGCTTTAGCCCACCGGTGTGTTCAAGCGCAAAACCACAACAATGACCATTTCTCATGAAACAACAACTGTATAATTATGTTTAAACCCCACGCGCCAATAATGGATTCTTTCAATGTTCATTCTACAAATAGTCATTAAGCTGGCTGAGCGTACTGGCAGTCTATAATGTAGACTGTAGCCTGCTTATTCAGCTGGGTCGGTGTACTGCCAGTCTATCATGTACACTGTAGCCTGCTTATTAAGTAAAGTTTGTCAATTTGTAACACGTGGCCTTTCACGACCATTAATCATAAACAACGTTACTGCCTTTAGATCGCCTTATTTATTAATGTGTTGTAACCCTCCACCACCCAACACGGCCATTCAGTAAAAAAGTGTCACCTTCATAAAAGACTAATAGTTCACTGCTTTAGCCCACCGGTGTGTTCAAGCGTCAAACCACAACCATTAACATTTTTTATGCAAAAACAACTGTCTCATTACTTCTAAAACCCTACAACGGATCGGCGCGCCTCACTAAAACCCTACAACAGATCGGCACGCCTCACACAAACCCTACAACCGATCGGCGCGCCTCACTAAAACCCTACAGCGGATCGGCGCGCCTCACACAAATCCTACAACGGAAGCGTAACGCATTGTAGTGTCGTGGTTAGCGCGCCACGCTACGAACCCGGCGACCCGAGTTCGATTCCCACTCACGGCCACCACCGGTGACGATTATTTGAACCGGACCTGGGCCTCCCCTAGGTCGACTCAGCCTCAAACGAGTAACTGGTGTCGTGTGTGAACATCGTCACTGGGGAGACAAAGGCGGCCGGGCGTGGTGAATCCAAGTACCCGGGCGAAGCCGGGTAGTAAAGCTAGTAATAATTTACAATTGTAAAGTTCTGCATTTAATCCGTAGATCCCACCAATGTGCCGCTGTGTATGGAAAGTCAGGAAATAAACAGAACCTGCAGAGGGCAAAAGGCCATAACTAGGCAGATGGTAAAGGCCAATTTACCCATTCACTCACCCACCTCACTCACTCATCCACTCATTCACTCACTCACCCACCCACTCACTCACCCACCCACTCGTTCACTAACCCACTCACTCACCCACTCATTCACTCACCCAATAAATAACTCACTCACCCACTCACCGAATCACTCACCCACCGTTCCTGTTATATATTTTGATAACGATGAAAACGCTAATAAGTGGTACATCTGATGATCGAATCTAATTGCACACGTATAATTATATAGCACCTTCACGCCAGGCGCTTGATGAACATGGCTTACAACACGGTGACACAGAATGGAATGGTGTAGTCGCGAGCTACCAGGTTTTGAGGAAAGAGTGACAGCAACTACAGAGGGTTTATTTAGGGGATCACGAAAGGGGCTACAGGGGAGGCACAGGAAGGAGTGGAGGGGTGAGGAGGAGGGAAGAGGACGAGAATGGGCAATGGAGATGAGCTGTTGAGGCTGTAACCACCCTCCTGCTATTCGAAGGCTCACTGACATGCGGGGGAAGTGGGATGCCCATATCGCGTGCTGACTGAACACGGCAGGTGCAATCAGCTATTCCGCAAATGGAAATATAAATGAAGAGAATTACCAGATGCGTAAAACACGAATCTCACATTAATGAATGTGACTACGTCTGTGTGACCACGCCATCCAAAAACAAAGGAAAGCCGCTGCCGCCTACGAATTCAGAGTTTGGGAACGAATGACTGCGACGAAGTGAAGAGGCGCAAGAGAACGGGCGGCAGCGGTCCAGGCGAGCTACAGCAGGGAGAGGGGTGTTCCGTCAGCACGCACACGACCTGCTGTGGCACACACCGAATCACAAGTGGGGGGTGGGGGGGGACGCTGGTATACAACCCGAATGGACACTCAAAAGGGGCGCAAATGAGCGTGGAGAGGTCGCATGCATAGAATTGCACTGAGAGACAGAAAGAGTGCCGTACGCATTACAGAGAAAAAATGCAAAGGTTAGTGGCATCATCTTGACTTGGCAGGGGAACTTTAAGTGGGTTTGGGCTTTGGGCAGTTTCATCTACTAGCGGGACCGATGGGTGAAGTTGCAGACTAAGAGACAGAATGGCAGCTCAAGGTGGAAATGCACCTAAAAGGACACTCTCCCATGGAGATGGAGTGATAAGTTATCAGTTTGTGTGATGATAAAAATTATAAGCATTATTACCCTTTCTGTAAAACAGAATAATAATAATACAGGAGGTGTTAAGATGTTCAAACACCAAATAGACACACCTTTTGCAAGGAATCATCGAGTCTGCATGGCTCACACATCCTGTTTGTGGTAAAACATGCAACAAACACGTTTTGATGATGTACACGCTGTCCTTGTGTATATAGTTACGAGACAACCCAACGGGTATGTTTTTTGGCGATCGCACTTTGACCATAGTCATAAACCCCTGAGTACCCAGTGTAACCACCGGCAGCTGAAACCTCTACTTAAACCCAAGATCTGAACGGTGGCAGCTCAGTTGTTTGGGAGCCTCCAGCACCGTTGTTTGTCATTGTATCAAAACAGCATGAGCAGTCCACCAGCTAAGGGAGCCGATGACTAACCACTGTCCTTTCCGTGTGCGTTCTTTGTCCGAGAAGATTTCAGGAGCCCAACCCTTGATGAAGATTCACTCCACTACCAACTGGACGCAGACGACGGTGGCAAGGCCCTGAGCCTGTCTCGGCCCCTCAGGAGGCGGCGGGACGTGACGGAGGGCTGTGAGGCGTTCTCCTACTGGAGGCAGGCGCTGTGTGAGGAGGGCTACTTCTCTGGGTTACACTACTGGGAGGTGGACGTGAGCGAGTGCGACGGGTGGTGCGTGGGCATCTGCTGCAGGTCGATGGAGCGGAGGGGCAAAACCAGCGATGCGGAGCTGGGCGGAAATGCCGAGTCGTGGTGCATCGAATACAGAGACGATGATGATGACGAGGACGATGGCAACCTGAGTGCCTTTCATGATGCACTGCAAACCAACATTGAAATCAGCTGCGATGGTGGCCGTAGCGGCTGCCACATCGACAGGGTGGGCATTCTACTGGACTGTGACATGAACCGACTGTCATTCTATGATGTTTCACAGGCACGGGTCCACTTGCACACCTACTGTTACGTACAGTTCGGTGCTCCACTCTTCCCTGCGTTCAAAGTGCTAGACGGCAGCATCACAATAGCCTCGTGTCCACGCTCCTGTGCCGGCCTCTGCTAGGCTTCTCAGGAGAGGTGACGTGGACCCAGCATGAGAGCGCTGTGAGCCTTGCTGTGTAGGTTAATCGTTCAGGCACTGTTGCTCCCCTGGTTGATTACTGTCATAGATGTGCACTATTAACTTCACCGTGGACATAGATTTATATAGACTCACATAACTATTATTATATAGACTTACATAACTATTATTGCCTCCGAAACGTCGTGATCTTTATTTTATTTTATTTTTATTAATTTTGATGTTTTACCTACGTGACTTTACCGAAAAAACCTAAGAATATGAACCATTGCAGTCACGAAAGCTTCAAATCTAGAACTCACATAACTATCCACAGACTCAGTTAAACATAAATAGACTCAAATATCGACCTATCGACACCCACAGATTCACATAGATACCCATAGACTCGCATATATACTCATAGACTTGTATACGTACCAACAGATTCACGTACAAATATACAGACTAATATAGATAACCAGAGATTTACATACACCCATATACTCACATAGATACCCACAGAGTCACATATAAATTAATAGACTCAAATATAGACCCATATGCTCACATAAATAACCACAGATTCATGTAGAAATCAATAGACTCACATAGATACCGATATATTCATATAGATACCCATAGACTCGCATATATACCCATATACTCACATAGAAAACAATAGACTCAAATATAAACTCATGGCGTCATACAGAGCCTCATATCTACGTGGGAAGTTGTGCTCATATGGTTGGAATCTCGGTTCCCAGGCACAATTATATTATGTGTGTTTGTGGACCTAATGGAATGTTTGGTTGTGGAGGAGAGGCTCCCTCTCCTCTGTCATGAAATGGACCAGTACTGCCTGGACCTCTGAAATACAGGGTCTGGCTTCAAGCATCATGAGGGGTGGATAGTTCTCCACTCGGGGTAGGAAACTGCCAAACAACAGGGAGTGCCACTTCTTTTGAACAAAATAATGAAGGGGGTGTGGGAGCATCGCGGTGGTGTCTAAGAAGCTGTAAGTTACAGGCTACAGTGGACTCACCTCCCCATCAACTAGAGGTGAGCAATGGGAATGGTTGCTTACGCTCCCACCAAAGATGAGCATCAGTAGAGAGATGCAGACAAAGCCGATGAGTCAGATGCCTTGTTTAACCTCCTGTCCAAGGTGCTAGCTAAAGTGCCCCCTCAGGATAGAGTCTTCCTGTTGGGTGACTTTAATGCCTGAGTGGGTCATGATTGGAGTGATCGGAAGGCATAGGCCAGATCAGCTCAATATTAACACGAAGAGGCTGCTAGACATCTGCGCAGCCGATGGGCTTGTAATTACCAACACCCTGTTCTGGAATCGGCGCATCTACATAACATAATGGATGCACGCCGAGTCTAAGCAAGAACATCTGCTGGACTATATAGGGCCTACCGTGGAGCTGATCTGCCCACTGACCATCGGTTTGTAATTTGTAGGATGTGCCTGCCATTCTTCTACTCCGGTGGTGGAACCCATTCACACACACAGTGGCCTGGTATCAGCTAGGTGAAGATAGTTGCAAGCAGCAATTTCAACATCGCTTGCAGCTGGGGTTGACAGCATCCCCCATCCTGATGCGGAGGGGAAATGGGTGAGGTTCATGACTGTGGCTCATGCAGCTGCAATGGCTGCATTGAGTATGTAGTCAACACCTCCCCAGAGACCCCAGCTGAAGAAGGAGGTGTTCCAGCTGGTTGAGAGAAAACGATAGGCTGACTCCCGTCGTCTACAACATCCAATATCAGAGAATGAGGAGGCTTACCGCAGCCTTAGCTCGGAGATTCGAAGAGCCATGCAGTGCTATAAGGATGAGTGGTGGCTGCGGTATGCTGACAGGATGGAATATGCCTCAGTCCGAATCACGAATAACTAAATCCATCATTAAAGTAATTTGCAGCACCTCACCTATTACTATCCTTAAGGGAAAGAACGGCGATCCAATCTCCGACCCCTTTGAACAGGTATGTAGGTTTGGAGAGCATTTCTGTGTGGTCTTGGGGGAGAGTAATTTCCTCAGCCCAGACAACATCATGGGACAAGGTGGGGATGAACCTGACAGGGCTGCGGTGCCTAAAATATTGGCCGAAGTATCCACCCCTTCTGAGTGGTTAGCTGAAGTGTCAGCTGTGGTGGAAGTACGAGGAGTGATCAAAAGCGCCGGGCAGATACGATCTCCCAAGTGAAATGCTGGGGGAGGATGGCATCTGTGTGCAAACTACCCTACATGACATCATCACAAATGTCTGGACCACAGGAAGGGTTCCGCAGGATTGGAAGGATGCTATAGTTGCCCCCCTCTGGCAAAAATTAGTATTCAACATTGCCTTCCCAGGCACGCTGAGGAGATGCTTGCAGAGCCCCAATGGGGTTTCAGGAAAGGGCTGTCCTGCACAGATGCCATATGTTCTGTCTGTCTGCTACAGCAGAGGTGTAGGGAATTCCCACAAGACCTACATCTCTGCTTTATTGACCTGATCAAGGCCTATGACACCATTAAGAGGCCTGGGCTCTGTGCTGTTCTTCGTGCTTTCGGAGTCCCTGACTCTCTGCTCAATCATTAAGAGCCTTCATGATGGTGGGCAGGCCCAGGTAAAGCTACATGGCTGGGAGTCAGAGCTGTTCCCAGTACACCTTTGGGATACGCGTCACGCACTGGAGTCGGTGTGTGCGCACGCGGCGGACAGTGAGAGCAAATGAGGACACAGGGCGCTGTTTGGCTGGTCGTTGTTGTTTTCCAAATTAAGGTTGCGTGATGTCTACGGGTGGTAGCAGGTGGCAGGGGGTAATTAAGGGTGCAGGGCGTTGACTGGACGAGAGGGGCTGTTGTCGGAGATTGGCGCCGGTGTGTCTGGAAAAACAACGCCACGTGGCAGCGGTGGCTGGGGGCGAGTGGCGTCGCGGGGGACGGCCTCATTAATTAGGGGTTAAAAGGTTCGGGGATAAAATAAGGGGTTGTGGAGTGAGGCGAAAGTTCGTGCCTGGGAGGAGAGACAGATGGAGAAACGGAGCAGCAGAGTGAGTATAGCATAGGGTAGCAGTGGAGAGAGTGAGTATAGCATAGGGTAGCAGTGGAGAGAGTGAGTATAGCATAGGGTAGCAGTGGAGAGAGTGAGTATAGCATAGGGTAGCAGCGGAGTAGCGTCGAGCATCAGAGAGACGATGGAGAGTAGGAAGTGGCTGGAGCGCGGAAGGAGAACAGGGTTAGTTACGACGTAGTGGGACGGCGGAGCTGATAAAGAGCAGCCGAGCTGGAGAGAGAGAGCGGAGAGGAGAGTCGACGGAGGAGTAGAGGAGAGGGAGCGAGCGAGGCCAGTGGAGCGTGGCGCGCGAGTGGAGGAACATTGAGCGGTGTTGACGAAGAGTTGTGGGTCGGTGTGAGTGGAGGAACATTGAGCGGTATTGACGGGAGAGATGTGGAACTATATACGTGGAATAAAGTAACGAGGAAAGACAAGAAGCTGTCGTGTCGGTTCGAGCACTACACAAACACATTTTAAACACATTCTTAATGACAGCGCCTAGTTTTATTTAATCACCTACATTAACATATTTTACGTAATTTTCACAATTGTTTAAATGTTTTCATATTTCATTTTTACATTGAATTTGTTTTTTAGAAGAATAAATCCATCGCCATCCCCGCCACCATCACCACCATCCCCGCCACCATCATCACAACCACCATCCACATCACCCCCATCACCACCGCGATCACCCAAGACCTCCGGCATAACCAGGCGGGGCAGATAACATGTTTGTATATCGAGGTGTCTCTATAAAGGCTACTGAATGACTCTCCATCGAAGTTCCGCAGATTTCACTCTTTGTTGAATGTTCCTATTTCGTTAAATTTAACCTCAAAACGCAACAACAATAAAAAGACTTACCACTACCACGTATCTGTCACGTGGGTGAGTGGGTGTGCGGGCGAGTGAGTGAGTGGGAGGGCGAGTGGATGGGTGAATGAGTGGGTGAGCGGGTAAGTGGGTGAATGGGCAGGTGAGTGTGTGAGTAAGTGGGTGGGTAAATAGGTTGGTGGATGGGTGAATGAGTGAGTGGTTGAGAGAGTGGGTTGATGAGTGGATTAGTGGGTGGGTGAGAGAGTGGGATTTGAGAGAGTGGATGACAGAGTAGATGGGTGAATGGGAGAGAGTGGCTGGATTAGTATTTGGGTGAGAGATTGGATGGGTGAGAGAGTGGGTGTGTGGGTGGGTGAGTGAGTGGGTGGGTGTATGAGTGGGCGGTTGAGTGAGTCGGTGGGTGCATGAGTGGGTGGTTGAGTGAGAGGGTGGGCGAGTGAGTGGGTGAGTTGGTGGGTAAGGGGGCGAACAGGTGAGTGAGTGGGTGGTTGAGCGAATAACCGTGTGAGTGGAAGAGTATGCCAATGTCCCAAGGGTGTCACAGTTTGCATATACGTATGGTCCCGGTGGTCTCTATTTCGATAAGGTTAGATTCGTGTACAGTGAAGGACAGAAATAATCCATTGGGAGTTGGCTGAGTCCACGCCGTTTCATTCACAGCCCTGCGAGAAGAACAGATACACCATAGACTCAGGACTGCACCATAGACTCAGCACTTCTAGATTTGAAGCTTTCGTGACTGCAAGGATTCATACTCTTAGGTTTTTTCGGTAAAGTCACGTAGGTAAAAAAAATATAATAAATAAAATAAATAAAATAATAAATCACGACTTTTCGGAGGCAACACAAGTCTCCGTCATCAGGTGGGACCGTCACAGCTGAATTTACTGTATTAAGTGAGTAAATTCAGCTGTGACGGTCCCACCTGATGACGGAGACTTGTGTTGCCTCCGAAACATCGTGATTTATTATTTTATTTCTATTATTATTTCTATTATTTTTATTTTTTACCTACGTGACTTTACTGAAAAAAACCTAAGAGTATATAGTTTCAGCACTGCTACCCATAGACTCAGCACTGTCACCAATAGACTCAGCACTGCCACCCATAGACTCAACACTGTCACCCATAGACTCAACACTGCCACCCATAGAGTCAGCACTGCCACCCATACACTCATCATTGTCACCCATAAACTCAGCACTGCCACCCATAGAATCAGCACTGCCACCCATAAAGTCAGCACTGCCACCCATACACTCAACACTGCCACCCATAGAGTCAGCACTGCCACCCAAAGAATCAACACTGTCACCCATACACTCAACACTGCCACCCATAGAATCAGCACTGCCACCCATAGACTCAACACTGTCACCCATACACTCAACACTGCCACCCATAGAGTCAGCACTGCCATCCATAGAGTAAGCACTGCTACTCATATTCCGAACTGCCACCCATAGACTCAGCACTGCCACCTATAGACTCAACACTGCTTCCCATATACTCAACACTGCCCATAGACTAAACACTGCACCATAGACTCAAACATAGCCATAGACTGAGCACTGCCCATAGATTCAGCACTGAGACCCATACACTCAACACTGCACCATAGCCTTCACAGCAATGCCCATAGACTCAACACTGCATTATCGACTCAGTACTCACTCATAGACTCAGCATTACCACTCATAGACTTGGCACTGCACCATAGACTCAGCACTGAGACCCATAGACTCAACATTTCCACCCATAGTCTTAACATCACAACTCCAACCTGTGGTAGAGTAGCCCATTGTTTCCGTGGAGGTAGACTCCACCCGCAGAGTCCACCTCTATTTTCTGGGGCAAAGCCGGAGCGTCTGGACCGCTCGCCCTCACCCACGTCGTGTTGGCGCAGTCAACGTTGGGCTTACGCCACAGCCGGTATAGGTCGTCGCAGGCCCAGCATTCGTTGGGCGAGCAACCTACGAGATTAATGTTGGCGTCATTGATCTGGAAACTTATTGAGGTCGTCAACCAGGACGGGCGCTTGCTGGGCGCAGACGCCCTGGCGCAGACGACGCCCTTGGAGCTGGTGGCGTAGATGTAGCCCGGGGCTCTGCCAGTGAATGTGAATACACCATCTGCACACATCCGTTCATATTCATACATTTGTTTAGAAAATTCAAGTATATATAGGGTTTACATCATGCGACCTCCTTTGCCAGTACACAAAATGATAATAGGTTTTTCCCCTTTTTTCTGGCAACAATACAGGGTGTTAAGATGTTAAAGACTAAAACTGAAAGCTTTTACAAGGGATCATGTCTGCAATAACCACAATGTTTTGTTTGTGGTCAGAATACAAACACCGTTTGAGACGAGAGCGTAAGTAGCGCAGGAGACGTCGATGGAGGCAACACTTATTTATTAACAAGAGCTACGATACAGCACGTAGTGAACCCTCACACTTGAAGTGGTAACGGCCCCTTCACCCGATTCTACTAGAGGATGTGTTCCTCAGCTAACGTTCCTCGTTAGCTCCTACTACACCCCTCTATCTCAGACCTTCCTAAAGAAGGCTAACTGACCTTGCCCAGCTTCGGCTCAGGCCCGACCCTCAGCCACTCGAGTCTGGCCCTCACAGGGACCCAGACCTCGCTCTCTGAGGTCGCCCCTGGCTTGCCCTGCTCGGCTCTTATAAGAACTGCGAGACAGGGGAGTAGTCCCAGGGCTAGGCTAGTCGCTCTTCAATCTTCACTGGCTCTTCATTGTCTTCTGACTCCGACGACTGCCTCCAGCTCTCTCTCTCTCACAGCCTTATATACCCAACCCCCCCCGAGGGGCGGGGCCGTGAGGGATCCCAGCCACAGCCTCCACACAGCCCACCAGGGTGGTGACCGTTTGCGGACGTTGATGTAGACACCCCCAACGTAACAGCTCGCCACACCCCGTTACGTAATACCTCTACACATGGAAGCGAATCTTCTTCTTTCTTCTTTTCTTTCTTCTTTTCTTTCTTTTCTTTCTTTCTTCTTCTTCTTTATATATAAAAGTCTCCGTGCGCTCGCGCTTGCGGGGGATTTGGCTCTCGGACGGTGGTGTTTAACACTGAAATAATTTGCCAGGCGGCACGCCCTAAGCCCCGTGGTGGGTATAGGCTATTCCGTTTTCCCGTCCGTAAACTTTAAAGTAGTTTAATTAACACATTTGTGCCGTTTCTATTATTCATTATTTACTTATTGCACGACATCGACTGTACCAAGTGACGCCAATTGCGGGGGGGGGGGGCGGACCCTGCCAAGTCATGCGCGTTCGCTCCAGCTCACGGGAGACATTTTCTTTTACGCGTTTTACAGTCAACACGTACACACATCACGCTGCGGATATTTCTTCACAGTGTCATGTCCTCTTCGCCCCCCCCCCCCAACACGATGCGTTCAGTTTATACTACAGACTCCGTACATAATAATATTTTACTGCTTACATAGCATTATTATTGCACGGGCGGCGGATGTTGGAGAGGGGGTAGCGGCCCAGCCCCTAGCCTGGCAACGTGCCAACTCCGCGCCTCGCCAATGTAGGCCAGGATGGGGGCTACGCATCGCACAAGGCCTCAACACGCCTATGTTAAGTACAAATTTCCTTGCTTCTTACGCTAACAACTCAAGTCCATTGTTTATTATTGTTAAACACATTAGTTGACAAACATTACAATAATAATGTTTGTGTGCAGATAAAAACTCAGCTTCATTGTTTACCATTATGAAACAAGTTCACAGATGTTACAATAATTCTGTTTTTTGTGAAGATAACTACTCAGGTTCATTGTTTACCATTATGAAACGAGTTGACATGTTACAATAATTATGTTTGTGTACACAAAACTCTTTTTGGATTTTTGGGTTGCTCAATTTCCCCTTTTTTTGATGCGCTTTTATAACGCTGCCACGGTCTACTGCCAGTCTGTGATTTCTGCTTATTTCTTCAATGCATTTCTATTGTTTTCATCGCTCACGTCACGCTATTTACTCATACGTAGTACTGCGATACTGATAGCTGTGCCATCATCGGGGATTGCTGTGCCCGTCGATGTGTGTGTGTGTGTGAGTCCATGTGTGTGTCTTTGAGTCCATATGTGTGTGCGTGTAGAGCCATGCGTGTCTTTCACTCCATGTGGGTGTCTTTTTCGAACGGACAACGTCAAAAGTGTTTATGTGTGTGTTAGTCCATGTGTGTGTGTCAGTCGATCTGTGTGCGTGTACGTCGATGTGTATGTCAGTCCATATGTGTGTGTTAGTCCACATGTGTGTGTAAGTCTATACATGTGTGTGTCACTCGATGTGTGTGTGTAAGTCAATGCGTCTGTGTGTTAGTCCATATGTGTGTTAATCCATGTCTGTGTATCTAAAGTAGATATCTGTGTGTCACAGTCCATATGTGTATGTGTGTGTAGGGCTATGTGTGTGTCAGTCTATGTATGTGTAAGTTCATGTGTGTGTGTGTCTTATTCCATATGTGTGTGTGAGTACATGTGTGTTTTCGTCAATGTGTATTTTAGTCCACGTATTGCTGTGTGCGAGTCGGTGTGTGTGTGTGAGTCGCTGTATGTGTGTACGTCCATATATGTGAGTGCAACTCCATGTGTCTATATCTCAAGTGGATGTCTGTGTGACAGTCGACATGTGTATGTGTGTGGACGGCAATGTGTGTGTCACTCTATGTATGTGTGTGTGTCGCTGTATGTGTGTACGTCGATGTGTGTGTGTAACTCCATGTGTGCGTATCTCAAGTACATGTCTATGTATGTGTGAGTCCATATGTGTGTGTGTCTGTAAGTCGATGTGTTTGTGTGTCTCAGTCCATGTGCGTGTGTGTTAGTCGCTGTGTGTGCATGCCTCCATGTTAGTCAGTGTAACTTCATTTATTTGCGTGTCTGTAGGTCCATGTGTGCATCTTAGTCCATGCGTGTGCTTTATTGACCTGCTCAAGGCCTATGATACCATCAGTAGGCCTGGCCTCTGGGTTGCTCTTCGTGCTTTCCGAGTCCCGAACCCACTCATCACCATCCTTAAGGACCTTCATGATGGTGAGCGGCCCCGCGTCTTAGCTACGTGGCCGTGAGTCAAAGCAATTCCCTTTACACCTTGGGGTGCAACAGGAATGTCCTCTGGCTCCCACATTGGACCACGTAGTTCGTCGAGCCTTCAATGACTGTACCGGAAGAATTCCCATCTGCTACAGATGCAATGGGAGGCTGATCGATGCCCGGGTGCGGTCAAGGGATGGCTCCCTATTGCTCAACCACGTTATGTATGCCGATGATCTGCTAATGGCTGCTCACTCGGAGGAGGAGTTCCAGGTGCTGCTGCTGAACCTGGAGCTTGCCACCAACAGGTGGGGCCTTACCATCAGCCCAACCAAAGCTAAGCACCTGCCTGGCTATTTTGTACCATCGGACACTCCACCCCCACAACTCCCAATTGATGGGCCAGTTGTGGAGACAGTGGAGAGTTTCCCTGGGCAGTGTGCTAATGACCGGCTCCGGTTTAACAGCAGAGGTCTCACTCCGAATCAGTCGAGCTGCAGTATCTTTTAATTGGATGCGTAACGCTGTGTGGAAGTTACCTGGTCTATCACTCCGTACGAAGCTTCAGGTGTTCTCGGCCACGGTCATTCCCTCCCTTCTCTACGCTTGTGAAACTTGGACCCCCCTAATGGAACATCTTCGCCAGTTAGAAACATTTAGGCTGGCCTGCCTACAATCCATCCTGGCTTTAACTAGGCTGCATTGTGTGAGGAGCTCACAAATCCTTGAAAGATGTGGACAAAGTCCCATCGGTGACCTCCGGCAGGCAAAGCGGCGTTGCCTGAGTCATGTAGCCCGCATGGCCAGCCACCACATGCCTAAACAGCTTTTGTTCCGCCGGATCGAGGGGGCTAAACGGGTGCGGCACGGGCTGGAGAAGAGATGGGAGTTATGTGCTACAGGAAGACTTGGAGCTGAGTCCACTTGCGGATGACTGGTACCAGCCGTGTCAAGATCGGCCACTGTGGAGGAGGCTCCTGAAAGACGCTACTGGCCAGTTGGAGGCAGTCACCCTCCAACAACAACGGAGGGTGGAGGAGCGACGCTCACAACAACGAGCGGAGCGCCGGGTGGCTAAAGCACAGAAAGTTGCCACAGTAGGGGCCACAGGTGCTGCATCAGCCAGTCGTCTCAGTCAGTCGACCTGTGCCATCTGGGTTTGCCCCGTGACCTCTTGCCAGCAGGCGTTCGACACTTTACATGGCCTCAAGGTGCACATAGCCTGGTACAAGCGTTGTGGTGACGTCACCGCCACTTACTGGCGAATGGCGGTTGTTGTTCAGTCTATGTATGTATGTATGTGAGAGTCCATTTGTGCGTGTAACTCTATTTTTGTGTATCAATGGATTTGCGTGTGTAACTACATGTGTCTGCCTTTTTCGCTCAGGCAACGCCGGGTACTCACCGCTAGTAATCAAATAATACATTGTTTAAATACATGCTTATACAGGCGTTGTATATATTGGGTCTTGAAAAATTAATAAAAATAATAAAAACTAAATGGGAATTGCAAAATGTCAAATTATCCAAACTTATGCAAATTTATGTAATTATATAAATAATGGTATGCTAATTAGGAAGGTGTCATTGTATTAAGTTATGCTAGTGTATGTAATTATGCGAATGTATGCAATTATGATAATTAGTGTCTGCCTCGTTGTCTAGGGTTTTATTCATCTTCTTGGTTCTTTCAGTAAAGTCACGTAGAATGGAAATAATAAAATAATAAAAGTGAAACATAATAATATAATTCTCACGACGTTTCGGCCACAACACAAGCAGCCGTCCTCAGGTGAAGACCAGGTCTGTCGAGGCGACAGCGTCTAAAAGAAAACACCACCACGCTTGGAGCGTCTATTTAAGCTGGTTTGGAAGGGGGGGGGATGCGCATTGACAAAAACAATCTGCATATCAAGAGGAATTTAGCATATTTATGGGAAATGCAGGAATGCGATTAGTGCTATTTGTGAAATGCTAATCCTGCATAATGCCCAATGTATAAGGTAATATATAGTATCAATATTGTTTAGTTAATATACAGCAGTGTGGTATACA